TAAACTCAGCAAATTCATGGATAATCACAACTGCGATGGAACATCATGTATCGTAACTACATTTTGATAGTGCGGGTCGCGGGTTCGAATTCACATCCCACCAAACATGCTCGCCCTTTCAGCCGTGAGGGCGTTATAATGTGACGGTCAATCCCACTATTCGTTGGTAAAAGAGTAGCCCAAGAGTTGGATGTGGGTGGTGATGACTAGCTGCCTTCCCTCTAGTCTTACACTGCTAAATTATGGATGGCTAGCGCAGATAGCCCTCGTGTAGCTTTGCGCGAAATTCAAAACAAACAAACATTTTGATAGTGTTTGATGTTGCCTAGGTAGTGTGTTGCCACAGAAAAGAGATCGCTTTTGGAAAGGGTAAGTAAAAGCCATTTCCGACACAAAACATTCATACACTTAGCTCATAAAGACGTATTGAGATTAGAGATTTAGAATTTCCAAGACTGGAATATTTCTTATACTTAATAACATTGTAAAACAAATGAATATAGATCAACTAGAGACAACAGAATCATCCAAAAATAGGCCAGCAGTAATAAGCAAAGTGCATCTTTTAAACGTTGAGAATCTACGAACACAAAGGTCAGATGTAAAAGCTGTCCACGTGTCCCAGGTAAGATATAACATGTTCGGACTTGGCGACATGGGCTATAACGACGTGGTGAGGTTTCAAAATCGTTTTAATATACCGTACTCAACCTCTGTAGTTTATTAAGTTGCTGGGGTAATAGAAATGATATAACCTGTCCATAAACGTCGAGTTAATAAACAGACATAATTTAAAGCTAGAATTACTATATTTTATCATTAGTGGTTATTTTTATAGTTACTTAATTGTTGGATGTACAGTAGATCAATAAGGTTGTGATACTCAAGAAGTACTTTATTATTTTACTTTCAGTTGAACACGTGCTATGGAGGGGTAAGTTTTCTTTTTTTTTCTGTGGTTGTTACTGGTTTTAGCGTATCTGTCGATTCTCTCAGATAGCTCAAAAGGAGGGAAACAACTGCGTGAAGAGAGGGAAACAACTTTTAATTAAAAATGAATAAAAAGGCTGTGACAAGACGCAGAGATTTTGAGGATTTATCTTTTTATCAGGACTAATACGATACGATATGTTTCTAGATATTGATGCCCCGATACGATACGTATCTAGATACAGAAATTTTACCAACGGTTTGTTACAAAGTTTGACAATCTCATCTGTAATTTATTATTCATATTACTAACATTGTCTTATTTAAGTACTTCACACTTTACAGCACTTTTCAAGTGGCAATAAAACAATAAAAT